TGTCATATTCGATAATTCGAAGTGCATTTGCTTCATCTGTCAGTCTTCCATTATTGTTCCAAAGAAGGGAAACGTGGAGCGGCATAAAAACTACAACATAAACTTCCCTCCGAAAAGCGAAATGAGAAATATAAAGGTAAAGGAACTATTCAAAAATACTTTATCTCAAAGGGAAATTAATAATAATAATAAATAATACTAGATATATTTATAAATAAAAATTTGTTTTGAATTTTTATAGTAGGTAGATTAGAGCATTTATATCATTGTACTATTAGAGCATTTATATCATTTATTTCAACTTAATTTTACCAGGTAAATTAACTGAAAACCAGTTCTCACTGCCTTACGTGCTTTTCGGGAGAAATAGATAACACATTGGAACTTCCAGGGATACAAACAACTCTTCAGCCAAAAAGGGCAAAGTTGTGTCATCACGGAGGCGGTTCCAGTTTGTGCAGCCGGCTGAGAGGTGCTGCACGATCTTAAGTCGTCTTGCTCTCGCAAGGTTTTTGTACCATGTGACGCGTGGTGATGTTTTGCAGCGACGGACAAAAAAATCTAACCATGATTTGGCATTTTTTTGAATAAGAGTTTTTTGTTTCGTTTAGATACTTTTCTACCAATGAATTTTAAAAGGTTTTTAGGAGACCAAGAATAGAGGCAGATACTTGTTGCAGTCAGTTCTGTCCTGCTTTATTTTATGTTTGCCCTTTAACATATTTGTAATATTAGATTCAAGATTCAAGATTCAAAGCGTTTATTATCATATGTACAGAAAAAGTAGTATTTCTCAGTACAATGAAATTCTTACTTTGCTGCCCACTCACAAATGCCAGGTTAAATTAAATTACAAGTACAAAGAGCATACTTGAGAAAAAATAGTGCAAAAAGAGCTTAAAGTGCAAAGTGACCTGTTGTGCAAATGAGGTAGGTCATGATATGCAAAGTGATCTGTTATGTAAATGAGGTAGGTCGTCTATTTAGGAGTCTGATTGTAGTAGGGAAGAAAGAGTTGTTTAGCCGGGATGTTCTAGATTTCACACTTCTGAACCTTCGTCCCGAGGGCAGGAGTGTGAACAGTCCGTGTTGGGGGTGTGTCGGGTCTTTGAGGATGGAGGCAGCTCTCCTCAGTGCTCTGCGATGGTAAATGCTCTGCAAAGAGGGCAGTGGAGTCCTAATGATCTTCTCCGCAGTTGTTATCACTCTCTGCAGGCGTTTGCGGTCCATAGCAGTTGTGCTGCCATACCATGCGGTGATACAGCTGGTCAGTGTGCTCTCCACAATGCAGCTGTAGAAATTGCTGAGGATCTTGCGTGACATGCCAAACTTCCTCAGCCTCCTCAGGAAATACAGCCGCTGTTGAGCTTTCTTGACCAGCTGTGTGGTGTTCAGTGTCCAGGTGAGGTCCTCACAGATGTAGATGCCCAGGTATTTAAAGCTGCTCACCCTCTCCACTTCAAGCTCCCGGATAAACAGTGGCAGGCGGGGGCTCATATTATGCACATTGTTACATTATTATATGGTTTTGTTCATTTGAGCTATGTTTCTTTGAATACTTGAAAATCAATAACCTTTTATAATTTTAAGGGAATTTTGTATGTAAAATTTCTTGGAAAATAAATATTTGTTTACTAATATTGTTTATTTCAATGTATTCATTCTATGTGTCAGAATAGGGTTTTTTTTATTATTATTTTGATTATTACATGGAACAGCATTGTGAAACTATAATATTGATAATTATCGATATCGGTCAATACAGGAAAAATTATCATGATATTTTTTTTTGCCATATCACCCAGCTATACTTGTATGTACTTTTTAACAAAAAATAGTTAGTTGGAGTATACAGTGATACTTTAATTATTTATTTGTTTGTTTATATTCATTATATTTAATTTGGCAGTAGATTGCGCAATTTGCACTTTAAGAAATATTTCAGTTCATTTTAGTAGAAGTTGTTACTGAATAAAGCAAAGAATCAGATGTGCAAACTGTTTTGCCCGTGGATTTCCCCCTGCAGTGTAGTGGCATAGATTTTGTTTGAGCAACTTGACCATTATATTTTCCTATTCTTAGCATACTCAAACTGCCACTACAACATTACATGCAAATAGTTTGCCGTGTTAATTGAAATGTATTGATACAAATATCTCCTGTGATGCTTAGTAGTTGATTAAGGGGAAAATTTTCAGATTGGTATCAGTATCGGCAGATACTCAAAATTTTAATAAAGGGATCGGATCAGGAAAAAATATTTCATGCCATCTGTAGTGTTACCTATAACTAAATGTATTTTATCCATTTGGCTGCTCTTTTTTTTGCTTATACACAACCAACAACCTCTCCTGGAGCCGACACTTTATCGTGGTGGAGGGGTTTGCGTGTTCCAATGATCCCAGGAGCTAAGTTGCCTGGGGCTTTATGCCCCTGGTAGGGTCACCCAAGGCAAACAGGTCCTGGGTGAGGAACCAGACAAAGTGCGGCTCGTCAGACCCTTATGATGAATACAAACACGGATTCACGATTTCCCTTGCCCGGACGCGGGTCACCGGGGCCCCCCCCCCTGGAGCCAGGCCTGGGGGTGGGGCTCGATGGCGAGCGCCTGGTGGCCAGGCCTACACCCATGGGGCCTGGTCGGGCTCAGCCCAAACAAGGCACGTGGGACCCCCCTCCAATGGGTTCACCACCTGTAGGAGGGGCCATAGGGGTCAGGTGCAGTGCGAGTTGGGCAGTGGCCGAAGGCGGGGACCTTGGCGGTCCAATCCTCGGCTGCAGAAGCTAGCTCTAGGGACATGGAATGTCACCTCTCTGGTGGGGAAGGAGCCTGAGCTGGTGCGCGAGGCTGTGAGGTTCCGACTAGATGTAGTTGGGCTCACCTCGACGCACGGCTTGGGCTCTGGAACCAGTCTCCTCGAAGGGGGTTGGACCCTCTTCCACTCTGGAGTTGCTCACGGGGAGAGGCGCCGAGCTGGGGTGGGCATACTTATTGCCCCCTGGCTGGGTGCCTGTGTGTTGGGGTTTACCACGGTGGACGAGAGGGTGGCCTCCCTTCGCCTTCGAGTGGGGGGACGGGTTCTGACTGTTGTTTGTGCTTATGCGCCAAATAGCACTTCAGAATACCCACCCTTTTTGGAGTCCTAGGAAGGGGTGTTGGACAGCGCTCCTCCTGGGGACTCTCTTGTTCTGCTGGGGGACTTCAATGCTCATGTGGGCAATGACAGTGAGACCTGGAGTGGTGTGATTGGGAGGAACGCCCCCCCCGATCTGAACCCGAGTGGTGTTTTGTTATTGGACTTCTGTGCTCGTCACGGATTGTCCATAATGAACACCATGTTCAAGCATAAGGGTGTCCATATGTGCACTTGGCAACAGGACACCCTAGGCCGCAGTTTGATGATCGACTTTGTGGTCGTGTCATCAGACTTGTGGCCGCATGTATTGGACACTTGGGTAAGGAGAGGGGCAGAGCTGTCAACCGATCACCACCTGGTGGTGGGTTGGCTCCTCTGGTGGGGGAGGAAGCCGGTCCTGAGGTCGGCTCCAGGAGAGGGTGAAGTGGTCACATAGCAAAAATATCTTAGCCTGATATGTCAGTAGCGTCAGTTTTTAGGTAACAGTTAAAAAGTTGGTAACCGATGTTGGATTGAGCATTTTGAGTTTCCTAACCTGAGATTAGATAGGACAATAATAAAATAGGATTCCTAAAGTCAAATATTTGCTGTTGTAATACCATATTGGGACAAATCCTATCTTATACTCTTCCTATCTTAAGATTTATGTTAGGAAGTTTCTGTAATATGGCCCTAAGAGAATAAATTTGGAATGGGAGACAAATTGTGCAGTTTTCTAAAGATACTGGCTCATAGATGTATGCATGTTTTGTTTTTTACATTACATAGTATTAAGAATTAGATTATCATAACTCCTTATATCTGTAATATAATTGGTTGAAACTGGACAAGTGCCATGTCTAGCAAAAAAAGAACAATTTATTCATTATTATATAGACTGTAGCAAATAAATTTATTACCACTTAAATACTACCTATAGTATTTGCGCACTTCACTCAAGCTTTTGCCTTTGCAGGCATATCTTGAGCATAACTTAATTAATTCAAGAGCTTGGAATAGCAAATTAAGAACAAGAAAAAAGTAAATTGTGCACACATGGAAAGGTCTTTGTGAGCTTGATTTAGTATTTTGTTGACATGATTGCGTGCTCGATTTAGTACATAATGCCCACAAAATAAAACAAAAAAATGTTTGTGGCCCCTTCAGGGCTCTGTATATACCATGCTGTGCTTGTTACAGTTCACGGAGAATATTAGTCATGGTGCTAAAGGGAAATAAATAGAATAAATAGATATTTAAACATGAAAAGAATATAAATAACACTACAAAGGAAAGTTTGTGAACAAACTCCATGTTGGCATGAAATAGCCATATATAAAAATTTAAATGAAAATGATCAAATGAAATCTGATTGGCTGTTGGAGACTCATCCCACTTTCCCAAACCTTTAGCTGCAGTCAGCCATTGACACACTGTGCACAGTATGGGGACCCAGCCATCAATAGTGTGAGAATAGCACCAGTTTAAATTTTCCCATAGAAGTCAAGGAGGGAGTTCTGTTTGGCTGTTGGAGGCTCTGCCCACTGCTTCAAATTTTTTACCGCAGTCACCCATTGGGGACCCTGCCATCAAAATGGTGAGAATGGCAGCAGTTTAATTTTGTCTAGAATGGCAGATGACATCATTGACCCGTAAATGATGACATCGTTGATAGATTTTTATACAAATTATGCATGGGAATTTTAAACATACAGCTGTTGTTAATTTGTAACTATAATCCTTGAATTGCAAGGGGTAAGTAATAATATGAATCTGGGTTTAGTAGTCATTCACTGTCTAATTTAAATATGCATAAAATAGAAACCTTTTAAAGGCTGACCATTTACCTGTTTATTTCAATTTTGTTGTGGTTGCTACCTTCAGTGTGCAAGTTTAAAGCCCACAAGCGCTGTGCTGTCAGAGCCAACAACAACTGTAAATGGAGCACCCTTGCATCCATCGGGAAGGATATCATTGAGGATGAGGATGGGGTACGACATCTATGCCAACATAAATAGATGCGCATGTTTTCACATTTCATCTTTTTCTTGTACAACATGTTTTCACAGCATTACACTGCCTCAAAGCATCATACATTATCCCTGCCCAAAGCCTCTAGTAAGCAAGCCAGAGGCAACAGTGACAAAGAAAAGCTCCCTAATAGGAAGGACCCTTGAGAGCAACCAGACTCAAAGGGGGAACCCATCCTGCTGGAGCCGGCAGAGAAAGTAAAATTAACAAAATGATGAAATCCTGACTTATACAGTCCAAATTTTAAGATTTGAGTCTAAATGTGGAGGACAGACAGGTGATGATGCTGCTTTTGATGACATAATGAAGAGTGGTAAAGCAGCAGCACAGGCAGGAGAAACAAACATGTAAACATAAATCTGGAAAATATTGCTCTTATACTATGAACTGTACACACATTATTGTTAAGAAGTAGTGATACTGGCATTGCTATATTATGCAGTATTTTAGAAGGACCTTTAAAAAAGTTTTTTTGTTCCTGTTTATTCTTGAGACCATGGATTCCAGACCAAATTGATGTACAGCCAATGGTAGTACTGTTTTATACCCTCAGAGAAAGACTGTTTGCATCTCATTGATTTCCTATCTGTTGTTTTCTGTAGATCTCAATGCCACACCAGTGGCTGGAAGGGAACCTGCCTGTTAGTGCCAAGTGTACAATATGTGACAAAACCTGTGGCAGTGTGCTTCGCCTGCAGGACTGGCGTTGTCTCTGGTGTAAGGCTATGGTGAGTGTGCGCATTTGCATGGTTTTGTCCATCTGTGTGTGTGTTTTTATGGTTATACTTTTATCCCAAGTAGTCTTTTATAACTTATTGTTTTCCTTTTGTACCACTAGATATACTGTATTTGTCAAGGCAAAAATTAAGTATTTTGCTTAGAAGTAGTACAGATATGGTTTGAGGTCATTACATTACAGTTGTCTTTCTCCCAGGTTCATACAGTATGTATAGAACAGCTGTCCAACAAGTGTCCTCTGGGTCAATGCAAAGTATCTGTCATTCCCCCCACAGCACTCAATAGTATTGATTCAGATGGTGAGTGTCTTTATATTTTTGATTGTTCTTTATATTATCCTCATCATGTTGTACACGTTGTGATTTTTGTTTTCCCCAATATTTGTAGCCTGAGAAAAGAATAAAAATGGAAGCCTAAAATTTTGTCTGCTACAGTTTTACAATGCTACTTGATTTTCCTGACTGTACAGTTACTAGAAAAGACAAAATGGCACGTTGAACATTTTAAACATGGAATCCTCATTGTACACTGAAGGATTGATTGGTTTTGTATTCTTGCATGAATTATTGCTTGACTCAAGCATATCGAAATATTTTTGTTTGAATGTGTACCCATTCTAATGCAGCTGCCATCTGTTTGCAGGGTTCTGGAAGGCCTCCTGTCCACCCTCTTGCACAAGTCCCCTTCTTGTCTTTGTCAACTCTAAAAGTGGGGACAACCAGGGTGTCAAGTTCTTACGTCGATTCAAGCAGCTGCTCAATCCTGCCCAAGTGTTTGACCTCATGAATGGAGGGCCCCACCTAGGGTTGGTGACATATTGTCGAGAACATTTCAGAATGTTGTGCAGAAGCTTATATATGTGCTTTTAAGTTTGTAAAGACTTTCTGCCTCTTCTAGTTTACGACTCTTCCAGAAGTTTGACACATTTCGGATCCTAGTTTGCGGAGGGGATGGCAGTGTAGGCTGGGTGCTCTCAGAGATTGATGCTCTGACTCTACACAAGCAAGTAAGCCTGATTCTGTTCCATTCTTTGTCAGTACGTCATACAACCCCTGGCATAAATTATGGAATCACCAGTCTTGGAGGATGTTCATTCAGTTGTTTGATTTTCTAGAAAAAAAGCAGATCACAGACAAGACACAAAACTAAGTGAATTTCAAATGGCAACTTTCTAGCTTTAGAAAACATTAAAGGAAATCAAGAAAACAACTAGTTATTCAGTAAACGTCTCCTTTTTTAGACCAAGCAGAGGGAAAAAAATATGGAATCACTTAATTCCAAGGAAAAAATTATGGAATCATTGAAAATAAACAAACCAAAAAAGACCGCAACACACCCCTAGTACTTTGTTGCACCACCTCTGGCTTTTATAATGGCTCGCAGTCTCTGAGGCATGGACTTAATGAGTGACAAACAGTACTCATCATCAATCTGGCTCCAACTGTCTCTAATCGCAGTTG